CAAATGTGGAGGAAAGTGGGATAAATGGCCGATACTACTGGAAGGATTCCTCTTTGGATAATAGGTACTGTAACTGGTATTCCTGTGATCGGTTTAATTGGTATTTCCTTTATGGTTCATATTCTGGATTGGGCTCATCCCTATAGTACTCAGATGAATTGAGTTTGCAAAATGAACGTGTAAGAAGAACTCAACAGGGATCCACTCTTTTTGTTGATGAATTCGAGGGGGTCCCGTTAAGTTCTTAATAAGAAGAAGATTTCTTATTCGTATAAATGATTGCATAGATAATTTTTTTCAATTTTTCAAAAGAGTCCATTTCAATTTTTTTGAATGTTTTTTTAACATGAGCTTTATTTATTGACTCAAAAAAGTATTTTCCAGAGGAAAATAGGAAAATTTCTTCCAATTTAAGTTGAAAGAAAACTAAAAAAAGAATAAAAGGGGAATCATTTGATTTACTTTTTCGGGATATCGCAATGGAAATAATATGAATTCTGTTATATTGGAATAATTCTATTGGAATATATTATTAATTCTATTCTATCTTTATTCCCTCTTTCTATTCGAAATTTTATTATTGGGTTAATCCCCCTTTTCTTGTTTCTCCACTACATAATGTGGTATACTGTATTCATTAAGATAATATTTTATCTTATATAATATTTTATCTTATAAAGGTTTTGCTCGAAGAAGGGAATCCACAAGTATTATTATATAAATAGAATAAAATTTTTTTTCTATTTCGATATTTCGCTACAATAAAAAAACAAGCGAACTCTAGGAAAAGATAAAGAAATCTCTCCTAGAATCCTAGAATCTCGTTTTCCCTATTTTGATTTCTACTGTGCTTAATATTCTCCAACTATCTTTCTTATATTACAACAATAAAAAACTAATAATCTTTTTCTATTGTAGGACATTGCTCTAATTTATTGGGTTGAAAAAACGCAAAGTAAAATAGTCTTCTTCACTATATAGACAATGACTGACTAGTACTGCAGTACAAGGAATTCTCAAAATACGGTAGAAAAAGACTCGAAAGAATCAAACGGGGTTGGGTCCTTTTTCTTTAATTTTTTATTATACAGAATAGTATTACAGTATAGAATTTATTGACTAAAATTTAGTTCTTTTACCGGCTTAGGCTTAACATGTTCATAAGTTCGGGGACCTGTAAATTAGAAATTCATCTCGGACAATTGCACCTTCTCAAATTGTTTCTTTTTAAGAACCAAGAAGATTTGTGCCAAAATAATCGATGCCAAGAAGAACGAAAGACCTTGGACACATAACAGATCTTGAAGTACTATTTCTGCATCCCCCTGACCAAATCCACCCACATTAGGATTACTCGTTAATGGTTGATCAAGTTTGATAGATTCACCTTCCAAAACAAGAAGTTCTGGTCCTGGAGGTATAATATCAATCACTTCACGCCCATCCGATGCGTCCGCTATAGTTATTTCGTATCCCCCCTTTTCTTTTCATATGATCTTTTTTATTATCCCCCCTGCTGTAGCATTATACACAGTATTATTACTCTTGCTCCCA